GGTGGGCGAGGCGGGTGGCGTGGGGGCGGGGGCGTCCGCCTCCTGCTCGACCTCCGTTTGCGACGCCGCGTCGCTCGTGGCCGCGTTCACCCTCAACACCACCTCCGAGCGCTGCACCAGCTGCAGGCACTCCGTCACCTGCACCTGCAACGGCACGCGCACCTCACACTCCTGCTCCTCACACTTGTAACACGAGCTATGAATATTGAGTTCTTTTTTCTATGAAATCTAAGAAACCTTTTGCAAACAATTTTAAAAGTATCCACTTATTGTCTGGAAAATAATACATAATTTCCTTCTTGCTTCTATAATCAGAATGATTATTCCAAAAGTACTGAAATAAAACAAACCATCATAAATCATGTTAACAAGAATTCTTAAATTAAATGAAATTTGTAGTCCCAACATTCCCAGCTACTGCTAGTACTCCTGGTACAGCTTAACATTTCGCTTCGAGACAATCGTTTTCCAAGTGACTTCTTATCCTTTTTCCATAGTTTTCTCTACCTTATATTTCAACAATGGTTCAGTTGGATTGGGGACATGGTTTGAATGAAGATGGGCCCCAAGAAAACGCAATCGCGAACCGACCTCGACCACCCCTAACGCCGCGTGCTGGCTCGCTCACTCACTCACCTTGGGGCTGGGCGCTGCCGTGGCGTGGGCGTGGGCGGGGGCGGGGGCGGGCGAGCGGGGCGGTGAGTCGGGCGCGGGCGAGGGCCCGCCCTTGTCCTCGGTGAGGTCGCACTGCGTCTCGCTCTCCACCCGGGGCGGCGGGGCCGGCGAGGGGGCGGGCGCGGGGGCGAGGGCGAGGGCGAGGGCGAGGGCGGGCACCACGTCGGGGCTGGCCTCGCGGCCCAGCACCCGCGGAGGCGAGCGCGGGCTGGTGCGCCCCGCAGGTGCCTGCGCTGGCAGCTGCAACGCCACGCACATCACATCATCACAAGGGATGGCACATCACTAGCCAAACATTCATGGTTATAAACATCCACCCAAAACCATCTATGTTTTTGAAACTGGATTAGTAACCACTAACGTTCATGGGGGGGGGGATTTAATTTGAAAGTAACTGCCAAAACAGCGGGAAAAAACAAATGAATGCTCGAATTAGACCTCAGAAAAAGTTTAATCACTCATTTGTTAGCGAGTCAACACACACTGTTGTGCAATGAAATGCAGTTCATTTAAGTTATTGGAAGGTACCAAATGCAAAAATTTATTACGTAATGATTCACTTCTGGAAACTTGAACCTAAAGTAACAAAAACCAAAATTAAGAACTTTAAGAAACCGATATCTTTTAATTCTATTACAACTCAAATAATATAGTTTTTAAAAAAATCAGACTTATTACTGCAGTGGTTAGACGGTTACGGTTTTAGCGTTCTTGATACATCGAAACAGATTGGAACACAATAAAAGTGACACTTGCAAACACTCGTCATTTGCGAGTTAAGGTAAGAAATATATTTAGAAATTAAGTCTATTTTTATTAGTAAAAACTTCATAAATATAGTTATCAAGACAATACGGCACACAGAGTAAAACCAGGGGCGGATCCAAAGACAAATTTTGGGAGGAGAAATTCAAAATGTTTGGGTTTACAAAATGTCACAGGCTACAACACACAGCTCATGCTGCTATATGATTTTATTTGTTTTAATGATTATCCTAAAATATTTATGTTTGGAAGTTTCGTGACAAGTTAAAATTAATAGTTACTGAAATATTTTAGGGAGAGGGAGGGGGGGGATTTCCGTCATTTCCCTCTCGGTGGATCCGCGCCTGGTGAAACACTGTCTAGAACCGCGCAACGCAGCCAGCCGTCGGTCAAAACGTGTGAGTGGCGCACCGGCAGCAGGTCGAGTCGCTCCATGACGATGGGCGGCTCCTCCTTGATGCCGGGGGGCGTCTTGTCGGAGCAGGCGTTGGAGCAGGCGTTGGAGCAGGCGTGGAGCGCGCTCGCGCGGAAGTCCTTCTCCTCCAGGCTGGCCGCGCTCGACGACTCCCCCACGGACAGCCGGTCGCACTCTGCCGACACACACACACACCGCACACGTTACGTAAGATACGAGGCGAGGCGAGGCGCTGGGGCGCAGTTATCGGGGCGTTTTTGCCACGGCCGCCGATAACCGCGCGCGCGCCTCCTCGGGTGGAGGAAGGAAGCGTTCGCCGACGAGCCAGGGGTCCCACATTCAACTACTGGACAAAAAGGTATCACATACTGCGAAGGCAATTTACAAATAATAATTTTCATGGTTAAATTAATTTCAGAAGCTAACAATTATCATTAACTATATAGACGAGGGTCCTTTTGTTACTTTTGATCAACATAACATTTTTTACTGCATAGTAAGAATTCTAAACTATCATTTTCTTTTACACTGAAAAAACACTGTGCCACAAACCCCAAGAAACATTCTGGTCTCTGAAACTCCTATCCGCAAACACCGACATGATACAATTATCAGCACAGCAAATTACTTCTCACAAAACACGACAAATGAACGTCCGTCCACACTTTTACCGTGTGCATCCGACGTGTTCCTTCTTCCTCCTCAGCGAACGGAGTGAGGGAGCTGTGAAGATTGAAATTGCCATGCCATTGTGGCATCGGCCGAGTTTTGACGTTCGCGAGCGGCCTTTACGACGGACAACGGTTGCGTTGCCACCGCATTCCAACGGTCCTGCTGAGCGCTTTCCGCAATCCCATCCCAGAGCCTCGATTGTTTGTCATTGGTCACCATTTGCGCCACTGCAGTTCTTCACGCAACGGTACGCGAGATGCGCGCTACCCCCTCCTCTTCCCCATACAGAGGCATATATAAGACAGACACACACACACACTGACATACACACACAGACAGAGACAGGACACACACACAGTCAGAATAACAGGCAGACACAAATAGATAAATAGATAAACAGACAGACAGACACAGATACACACATAGATAAGCAGATACACACACAAACGCACGCAGACCGACAGAAAGACTGACATGCTGCAAAATAAGGCTGTGTCTCTTTGTATTCAACTTTATAACCGATTACAAATGTAAAGGATAACTTTACATTATCTTTATTTTTAGAAAATAAAATACAATTTCACCCATTAGTAATGCCAAGAGCCGCTTGTTTCTTCTCTAATGTACAGACAAGTTGCGCAAAGTCTCGCGTGGAACTCAACCGCCCGATCTTTCGCTTCCTTGAAGTCACCGCACCTGCTGGTGGCAGCTCTTTGCTCCCGGCCCAAGATTCCGACGAGCCCTGGACTGGGATTGCGGAGGACCCACGTTATCCTACCCTGAATCGGAAGCTCTACAGAAGCACTCAGCGGACATTCAGTTGCAAAAAAAAGGCATTGTAAATAATTATATTCTTTTTCTAGAACCTAATTATTAAATGCCCAACATCGATTTCAAGAAATCCAAGTTACTGTTCTCGATGCAACAAATACACCTTATATGCACACGTTTTCTTGAGTCCCGTAATCTCTAGAACATTAGTTGAATAAAAATAAATTGTAGCAACGGACGTGGAAATAATACGGTAACCAGCTATTTTGACTCACTTCATGTAATAGGAATTGTATTGCACCGAAAACGAGCTACGAATTGGTACTAATGGTGCAGCCGTCGAAATAACAAACCCCCATTCCTCTTGCATCCGCGAGGGCTGACGAAAAGCGCGCGGATACGTTACCTCCTTCAGCTGTTATCGCGAGACCGAGGACTTACGCCTCCGGGCGCCGCCGCCGCGCATCGAACTGCGGGCCGCGAGTGTGGGGCGCTCGGCCGAGCGACGGCGACCTACCTGGCACCGGGCTGGAGGCGGGGGTGTCCACCAGCACCTCGGGCCGCTCCGAGGGCGACATGGTGCGCTTGTAGCTGCCTTCGAAATTGGGCAGCCCTCGGTCGCGCTCGCGTCGGTACGCGATGTACGACGCCTTGGACGTGCTCCTGCAACACAAGAACGGCACCGTCAGACACACACACACACACACACACACACACAGGCGCCGCTCGCTGGCAGGGCGGAGGAGGGCGGCCGGCGCAGCTGGAGACGTGCCTGGAGCCCGACTCGTCCACCACGAACTCCATGTGGATGGACCTGCACGAGAAGCACATGGCTGAGCGGGCGGGGCGAGGCAGGACCCTGAAGGCGCTCCGCTGCTTCTTGCGCTAACAGGTTGCGCACACGCGCCCGTGGCGGCGCATGGCGGCGCGGCGGCGAAAGCAAACTCCCAGTCCGTATTTACAACAGAAACTTTACTTGCACTCTAAATACTTTAATTACATCAGGTCAGTGCAGTGCTGCTTTCCAACTACGTAAAGGCAAGCCAACGTGGGGAACTATTTCAATATAAATGGAATTACACACGTAAATAATGTGCACAGTATTGTTACTGTTATTATGATGTTTGAGCATATGTGAGGGAAATACCACAGGTGTTCATAACCACTGTCCCACTTCGAATTCCGTATTTACTTATTTATACTTCGTCGCTGCTACTCTATGCAATTCATCGAAATCAATAATAAGCAATAGTTTTACATGAAAGTAGCAGAGGACGCCATAGTGATGTAATTATCAAACCAATCATCCTAGTGACGCGTGATCCTCAAACTGATGACGAGGACACTTGTACGCGACAACCGGCTATCAACACAATACTCTTCGGAATCGAGGAACTGTTGTCAGAACCACTCGGGGCGCACTCCCAGTGATGAAACAACTTCCTTACTTTAATGTCCACAACCTTGACGCGACACCTTCGGAAACACTATGCCAAGACATATTTTTAAACTACTTGTTCGCTCACCACCTCCAACAGTTTTCATGAATCTCGAACCCACGAATCTAGAAATCACACGAGTAGTCGTACCTCAATAGCAGCAACAAATCCGAAATTATTTTAAAAAAAAAGTCTTGATGGGTCGATTACACATATTTTCATTTCCCCATTCTCGGTAGAGGGCAAACTAAAAGCGAACGCATTGGAACGGAACAGAGCCGGCAGCAACTGGCGCATCCCGTGACAGCGGTGGCTGTTTGCTGCGAGGGCCCCGCCGCGTCCAGCGCCGGCCGCGGACTGCGAGGTCGCGCGTCGCTGAGTCAGGGCGCGTGTGCGGGATTATAATTAACCGGCGGCAGATGACGCGATGGGACGCGGCGCGGCGCGGCAAGTCGAGATGGGACGAGGCGAGGCGAGAGGCGCAACACGTCCCGCCGCGGGCAACGCCTCCCACGCGACAGCTCTGCCCGGCGGGGGGAGGCACATGTGGTAAGTGGTGGTGATGGTCGAGGTGGAGTGAGTGAGTGGGTGTGGAGATGGGGATTGGTGGGAAGGCAGATGGTGATAGAAGAGGACGAGATGGAGGTGGTGTGGTGGGTGAGAAGGCAGATGAGGCAGGTGGAGATATAAACGGAGATGGAGATGGTGGTGGACGGGGTATGAGGGATGACGCAATGATACAATCACCCGACCATTCATGGAATCATTGACAATCTTCGTTCGGAACCAAACTCTTACTACAGTATGGTCTTGCGTGCTCTTGTGCAAGATGTGGACGCGTGGCGGCTGCGCCGGGGTGCGGTCGCGAGGAGTGGGGGAGGGGCGGGTTGTGGGCGGCGCGATTGCCCGCGGCCGCAGTGCGTCTATTTGCACGGCGCGGCGGCGCGGCGCTCGCCTACAAGGTCGCGACGCGCGTCGGGGGGCGGTCTGTTTACACTCGGCGCTCGCCGCCACAATGGCCGCCCCGGGCGCCGCGACGCCCTTGCGCAGGCGCAGAAGCAACATCCACACAGCACGCTCTAGCTGTATCGCCCATTCACAGTTTCCAGATATGAGGAGCAGTAACTATCATGTTAAGATTGATTAGTGATTCTGGGCGCGAGGACTGCTAAGGTCAGTAGTCCCATAAGTGTAGTGCACTTTTTACTCAGGCGGTGGCGATGGTATCCCGGATGTAGCGGCAGCTAGCGGTGATTTCCCCAACCAGGTATCTTTCACCAACAGGGAAACGCCCCAAGCGGGAGAAGTTCTAAGTTCCCGAATGGTCTCTTTGCATGTGTGGTAGCGTAGTGAATGTTAGGGTGAGTGTGTGTGTAAATAATGGGTGAGGAGAGGACAAGGAAGAGGAAGCAAAGATAGCGCGGTCCGTAGCCCGTTTGTTGGAGTACTACCTGTTGTTGATCAGAGAAACCACGAAAAACTACCAAACAGAGCAGCCGACCGCTAAAATTCTCTTACAAAAAGCTCTTACAGACCGCTCGATCTACCTTTCAAACTAGTGTCAAAAATCCTGCCATCGTCGCGACTCCCGGTTAGAGGTCAATTACGTTAAGGAATCCTGCTGGTGGCAAGCCACTTAGCGAGTTAGTGCCACTAGTGTACTGAAAGGGAAATATCTCTCTATACGCGCTGTTTCCGTATAGCGATGGTGCCGCCAAAACCTGCAGCAGCGTTTTCGTTTAAAGATTTAACATATTTTGATCCTGCATAAAATTAAAGTAAAAACGTTACTCTTGCATTTATTACTGTAATTGATTTATCAAACCTTCCACTTCATCGTATCTCACGTACCAATTCCAGAGCCACCTTCACTGCTTCTCTGTTATTGAGAGATGGTCAACTGCGAAGAGGTTTCATTTCGCCACCGAGTGAACCTCCCCGCATCCACGAGGACTGCACACGCGCCTACCTTAATGAAACGCCGTTCACTGAAGGATCGAGGGGGGTGCACTCCAGGGGATTGGCAGTGAACACCTTCAGGCGTCTGTTGACACGACTAAGCACCTTCTGGAGGTCAGGCCATTGAACAAGCACGTAAGGTCAACATAATATAAAGAAGTGTTAATTTAACAAAGATGACGATGACTCACTATTACAAGTAAATGCATTCTTTATATTTTGAATCTCAGTTGTCAGTCTACTGACAAGGAGACACGTACGAGTACCTGATACGTCGGCAGCTCACGGCCATCAGGCTCCAGATAAGAATGTTATGAATTCCAACGCATACACTGGACTTGGCTACCCAGGCGTTTGGTTCTTTAGACCTTGTCAGAAGAATAATATGTGCGTGAAATATTCCTAAGTGGTATATCACTAATGATCAATCAACTAAAGAAATGTTTGATGAATACTATGTTTCCATACAAAGTGTATGTTTTGACAAAGTTTCTTTCAAAATGTATTTGAGGGCGCACGCAGACCGACCGACTTGTCGGAAAATGCATCTCTTCTGTCCGTACATTTTTAACAGCAATAAAAACTGAAGACTGAAGTGAAATATTAAATTCTCCACTACTACAGATATGATCAAATATACTGTTCTTATTGAAATTAGGACTGCCAAAGAGCATGGAGTTTTAACTGTTCAAGTAGATTAAGTTATAATTAGTTATTAAAAAAGCTGCCTCCCCTCCCCCCGGTCTTCAGCCGCTAGCCAGTGGCGCATTCTGTGCGCGTCGCATTAAATAAATCCCCGCCTCCACGGGGATACTAAGTAGGGGGAAATACTCCAAATACTGGTCCTCGAGACCCGATGGAGCGGGTGGGGGCGGAGCAGGGCCGGCCGCAGCTGCGCCACCTGACCCATTTCCCGCACGCGCCCCTCCCCTCCCCCCTCTCCCCCTGCGGGGAAGGAAGTACCGCTCGGAAACTCGGGTCGGGCGAACAAGGCCGAGAGGCGGCGGGGCGGAACGGGGAGGTGCGGGGCGGAGCGGGGGCCAAGACGGCGCCCTCGCGAACAAAGGGCGGCCGGGAAGCGCAGGCGCACAATGCGATCGGGTGGGAAGCCCAGAGGCGCGAGGCGTAACCCACCCACGCACCCGCTGCTCTTCGTCTTTCACCGTCTTTGCTTATGGAAACGGAACTTTCGATGTACTAACATAAAAACACAACACATTGCTGATGTTAAAGTGTGGTGCAGCAGTCCCCACCTCCCATCTCACTCGTGAATGCCCTGCTACAGATAATATAAGAAAACTTCTGTAAATAGAAGAAACCCTAAAATCACTGCTCAGTTCCACAGACGGGTGTAACGAAAGTAGTAAAACTCTTAGAAGTTACAAAACTGAACAGCCTTATATAGATATGGATATTGTATTATTACCTTAGATGAAACATGTGAAAATGTAATTATGTTTGGTTTAAATGAAACTATTATGTTTGTCCATACAATTGTAAAATGTTACGGGTTGCTGATGTAATAAAGCGACCTTAAATAAATATTTTTTCTTTAAAAAATGAGGACAAAGATATAATCTGAGAGTATATTTATTATTAACAAATAGAGATTCACCCGCGCAATTAAAGCGCATAGAATATCTAGTAGTTTACTTGCTCGTAATATTCTAGGGTCATCACTTTTCTGGCATCCTAACCACGGAGTGCGGGTCCTCCAAACAAGAGAAATCTCCAAAAATGACATTTTGTAGATTATGGTGTGAGGAACATATGTTGTGCTTCGGCCTCGAAAAGCCTTTAAGGCTCGACCGTTTTCGAGTTATGCACGATAGATTGGTCAGGAAAAATCGCCCAGCGAGTCGCTTGCTACACCTAGCATTTGTACCTATTTGATTTCACTGCGCTTTCTTAAAAAAGGTTTAATGTAGCGTTTTTGAAATTGAAATTAGATCACTTGTCCGGAACGTATCTTTCTTTGGGCACCTCATTTGTTAAGATGGGTTGGTGTGAGAACCGCAAAAGTGATCTAGGCAATACAAAAATAGAGATGATCGTTCTCAATACTTCAACTAATAGCTTAGCGTGGCGCCTCCAGCGGATTCTTTCATGTTACAAAGTTTTATACGTGCTCTGCAAGTTCATTATTAAAATAAGCTTTACACTTATTACAATTGACGGAGTCGTCCAGTTTCGGGCATTGGAAATATTCATGAAAACGTACTGATTCAAATACTTGTTTAATCCTTTTGATCCGTTTAATCCTTTGACAATAATTAAACCTAAATTTGTAAATCTGATGAAAGAAGTAGTAAGGATTTATGTAAATGCCGAAAAGAGGGAATAGAAATTCACAGTGCTTCACCATTGTACTCGAAATGCATAAGAAGAGGAAAAAAAAAAAAAAAGAAATGAGAGATTTTAGCAGAATCTGCTATAGGGATACACAAAAAACGATCAGTTTCCCATAAGGACACAGAGATGCGACGAATGACATCTCATTTGTTTTGAATGGTAGACCGGAAGTGGTCTAAACGCGGGTGACGGACGGACGGAAGTTACTCCATTACTATATAGGGATGGTACATAAAACATTCGAAACAAATGCGATTGAGCCAAACCATTTTTTTATCGCACGTTCAATTGTTTTGTGTAATAAAACCGCAATGCAGATCTTCAAAAATAAAGTTGCACAGAGTTAAATTGTTTCAAAAATAAGATATGCAAAATGTTTTAAACAGCATCATCTAGAAATCACTCCAGGTAAAGTTTGATAGATGTTCGACAGAAAAATCCTTGCGACTACCTTGCTACCTTTCAGAGCCTCGAACCCGGACGACCATGGCGTATGCAGTCATTTGGAACTACATTCTTTTACAGCTATTTTGACTGACGGAAGCGAGTTCTGACAGTAAATTCTCCTAAGATTGGTTTTTCATTGTGCTTATTATTTTTGTTTCTGTGTCCAATGTTAATGAAATACAATAAAAACTTCAAGAGACTAAATTACAAATCGAGGTCGAAATGTATTAAAATTGGAAACAAAAGAGCAATGCAAATTGATGCAAAAGAACAAGGAAAATCTCGGAACAAGACTGGTATGAATAAATAAGACAGCGATAAGTTGCAGTGCGTGTAATCAGGTTGTTACTCGATTTCGACAAAGGATGCAGACATCTCCACAAAAGGTTTTCGTGTAACGGGCAATCCGTAATAATTCCATTGGAGTGTCTCTTTTGACATCTCGTCTTTCCAAATATGAAAGTAATGTCGAGCTTATTGTCCGCTCCTGTCAAGTCGCTTAATAATTCACCAAACATAAGTACCGCAACCACAACAATCGCAGCGAATCATTCGGCCGTGTAATAACGCAACAAGACGTGCGTCCATTAAATGTAGATCAGTTTTGCAAGTCTCCGCAAGCGAGTTGAATAAGGAAGGAAATTAACTGCGCAGAAATCCAATGACCTTGCGGTGAGGATTTGGCCCCTGAATCCCATCGGGAGGGAGGGTCCGTGATGATGGCTTGGCCATATGGAAGCTCTCAAAGAGCGGCGTCGAGGTGGCAAAAAAAGCGAGAGAGGGCGCTTATG